AAGAACAAGAAGAAGAACAAGAACAAGAAGAAGAAACAGGATGGAGCTTTTTATCAACGATTCATCTGATAAAATGTTGGTGGGTAAATTACCCACCAACATTTGCTCTTTTTTTCTATGCAGATTTTATTCTGCCTTTATTTATGGATAAAATAAAAGAAATAAAGCATTTCAGCACAGCTTTTATTTTTAGGAATCTGAACAAGGAAAAAAATATTTGTTACTACCAATGTTCTGCCAGTTCTTAATGAAACAGAAGGAGCTAAATGTTCAGTTCACACAGATGGAAATGAACTGTTCGTGTTCATAGTTCACTTTTTAAATCCTATAAATGAACTAGTTCAGGTTCAGTTAGTAAATGAAGCCACAATCCTCCACAATAGAAGCTCATATGTCATCCTTTAAATGTCTGATCAGAATATATATAAAGAAATGGAAAATCCTGGATGCAGTCCAGGTTTACTGGATGCGCAGTGAAGTATTTATTTAGCTGAATGACGCAGAACTTCAGAAACATTCAGGAACATTCAGGTTCTGATGAAAAGATCTGGATCCTAAATGATTTCTTCCGTTCCTCATTCAGCAGCAGATATTTCCACAGAAAGCTTGAATGCTTTAGCTCCATGTGTGGCTTTAAAAGTGAAGGGGGCGTGGCTAACGGACGGACTTGTTTGTTAAATCCTGGTGGAAACAGTTTGCACTAAAACCTGAGTTTATTCCTTGTTTTTTCTTCATTTATTTCTATTATTCTGTTAAATTACCATGAAATATTTTTTCATATATATTTTTTATTGCATTTTTTTATTGGAATCTGTAAAATGGAATTTGAAAACAAAATAATTTTTACTTGATCTTATAAAAAAAGCAAAAATAGAAAAAAATATCTGAAAAAAACAGAATCAGAAAAATATAAATTAAAACAGAAAAATAAGATACGAAAAAAGTTCAAAGAAAAAGCTCTTTTTCCGTTTTTGCATCAGCTTTATTAATATTGGAGCAAATTTCTCCCCATAGAGGTAATAGAAACAGAGGTGGTGATCATGCACACACCCAGATCCCAATTGGCAAAGAAGAGTTAAAGCCACGCCCACAACTTCCTGCTCCACATCATGGAAGTAAAAAAAAAAAAAAAAGAAAAAAGAAACCTCCTCTGATCATTTTTTTTTTATTGCTGCTTATTTTTTAGAAGATGACGGCTTGCGTAAAATAATTCCTTTCCTCAATCCGATGTTAGTGGAACACCTGCCTGAGTTTATTCCTTTGTCAGTTGATCAAACTCTGCGAAGCGCTCTGCTGAACCAGCATCAGGAATCCCAGCAGCGTCTGAATGGAGCAGACTGGTTCTAGCAGGAGACCTGCTGCTCTGTCAGGCCGTTTACCGT